TTTCTCCGTTCAGCAAAGAAGAGAAAACAACAGAAACAAACAAACTTTACATTTACATAACTCAATTAACGCGGGGAAATAATTTGTATTAGACAGAACAAGGGAATTACTTGGTTAAACTATGGTTGGAAGATCGCAACAATTTATCCCTTGACGTGATAGACGCTGCGAGCAGACGCAAAAATGCTACGCATGTGAACAAAGTATCTACAATGTATCCACAACGTGGAAAATCTTACGCTCGCAATTGGGCAAGTTTGCATATGGCGCGATGCGCAACCATCTCTGTGTTGATCTCCTGCTCAAAGTGATCAGAGTTCTCCAAATGCGTCACGGCGTCGCCGTGGCTTTAGTGGTGGTGAGCACGAGGTGATGGAGCGCGCTCAAATTTTCGACCAGTTCTAGACTTAGCAGGAAGTAGTAGGAGGGAACCGGTCGAAATTTGGTGAGCGCAAGAAGAGAGGAAGAAGTTGGCGTGTGTCAGACCTCATTCTTCCAACACCACACCAGGTTTGCTATTAGTGCATATGCTACTCGTTATCGCTGTCTTCCTCATTAAGTTCCTCCAGCTTTCGCTACCGTAGGCGAATTCGCCCCCGCATATGTGCCGGAGTAGCAGCCCCACTACCCCACGATCCGTGCCATATTTGGCTGCACGTCAATGCATTCCCCGTTTCCGAGCGCCGAATCGTGTTACACAAAGGAATATATCCTTCAAGAGCCTCCGAGTATTCACGACAGTAGGTTCGAACCTGCTCTCGAACCTTTTCACCTTGGGTGGGCTCACTTTGCAGAGATGCTGTCGAGTTTTGCTCTTCCCTTTGCTCTTGCCGAATTTAGCCTTGTATAGTTCATCAGTGCGCGCAGCACGTGGTCAAGATTTCCGTTCGGCACACTCGCCAGATCTTCTGCGTGTTGGTTGGTACGGAAGCTTATAGCCGTAACTGCAAGTAACTCCACGTGAAGCTGCCGCATGTACTCCGCATACGTGGGCGCACGCTTACCTTTCCGCTTCATTACCATCGTGTGAAGAATGAAGCCATTGACGAGTGCCATATCTATGAAGGCGAGAAATCGTTGGCAGTAGTAGTTCTTGAATGCCACGCAACGCTGTATCGAATACCGTTGAAGGTGGATCTGGTCGTGGGTGTTCACGCCACCCATTCCAGAATGGTAGTCTGCGATAAGTTGCGGGCACGGAACCTGTGTGAGAGCTCATGTCTTCTAGTCCTTCCTCGTCACGTGGGTCTGCGTGGTGGAGCACCCCGTGGCGATCAGATGCACAGGTCTGGAGTCCATCCAGGCCGTGGCAATAAGTGCTGGGTACTGTCTGCATTGCGCTATCCTGTACGTCCCCCTCGACATGTACTGCGGCCTTTTCTTCTGTGGGAACATGAGATCTGACGGCCACCCAAGTCTGTCCGAACGCTGAGTACCGACGTAGTAGAACCGCAAAGTCAGCAGCGCGAGTGCCAACGCAGGCGAGCTGTAGAATTTATCCGCTACAATCAATCTCTGGCTCGCCTGTCCGTCAAAACGTTTTTTGTGATATTGCTGATGACGGCTCTCTGTGACTAGCCTTGCTTCTTCCTCTTGTCTGGCTTAGCTCCTAGATAAACTTCAACTCTGCATCATACAGAATACCATTACGATGTAGTCGTTGCTTGATGCTGTAGCTATACAGAACTAGAT